TTATGGAGTGTGATTCATTTTCAACTCAAAATATCTTCAAACTAAGGAAATATAAAGTTATTAGGGAGGAAAATCCGTCTGGATAACAGCAGACTGACTGCTGGTAAAATATACGACAGGTCTGGACCACTCGTAAATTTTGTTCGTATCTGTAAAAAATCTTAGAATACGAAAACATTGGTGAATGTCACAAATTCTCCTAAATCACTCAAACGCACAACTTAAGAACAAATCTGTGTGTATGAACGGTTCTTGCATGAGGCCCAATGTTGTCAATGGAACGCTGACTAAAAGGGAGTTCATTCCAGAGCCTGGGGGCCACAGAGGAGAAGGCACAGTCACCACGGGTCTTACAGCAAGTGAGGGGAACCATAAGGAGATGTTGATCCTGTGAGYGGAGGTCCCGTCTGGGGTTGTAAGAGGAAATGAGACTTTTAATGTATTCTGGGGCTTGGCCATGAAGAGCTCTGAAGGTGAGGACAAGGATTTTGAAACGGATTCTGAACTGAACCAGGAGCCAGTGAAGTTCTGCTAGGATCGGGGAGATGTGGGTGAATTTGGAGGTTCAGGTTAGGAGTCTTGCTGCCGAGTTTTGGACAAGCTGAAGACGATTTAACTGTTTCTGGTTAAGACAGGTGAACAAGCTATTTCAATAGTCCAAACGGGTAGAAATGAAGACATGAATTAACATTTCCAAGTCTGAAGTGGACAGCAGGGGCCGGAGTTTAGAGATATTACAGAGCTGAAAATAGCAAGTGGAAACCAGGTTCTTTATGTGTTTATCTAGTGACAGGTCTGAGTCTAGATTTACTCCCAGGTTGTTCACATTCTGCTGAACAGTTGAACTCAAAGAGCCGAGATGTTCTTGTATCTTAGGGATTTTATTTTCAGGGGCCAGAATCAGTGTCTCCGTCCTTAAATTTGCTTGTCATTTATTACATTTCTCCTTAATAAGTACAGCTGGTTGAAAAGCAATCCATATAGTAGATCGATACAAAGTTTTTGGCAATGGTGATGGTTCAGAATGGAATTACTGATATATATTTGTAGTTTTATGATTAAATGCTTGCTTATTGTTACGTTTTTTTCATGACGTTTGGTATACTGCACATGCAAATTACATGTACCATTATTGCTTTTAGGTTTTATTTCTATTTGTGCTTTGGGGTTTGTTCATTTATTACAAAACTTTATAATTAAAAATATTACCCTAAAATCGTGTCAAAAAAAATAACCTGATGAATTGATCTTTTATAGCTTTTATAGAGTATTAAAGACCTATAATCCTCAAACATTTTACTACTGAAGTGGACATTAAAATATATTTTAAGCAGCATGTATCACAACTAAATGCCTAAAATGTGCTAAAAGAAATTAGTGTAAATAAAACAAATTGTAATCTCCAAATTACGCTGTCGTACTGCTGTTAACTGAAAACATAGCAAATGTAAGTTAATAAACACATCTAAAAGAACTTTAAATGGACATTTGAGTCATTAGTTTGCTCCACAGATCGGCGTAACCAGATGTAGCTTATTAGCAATTAACTGTCCAATTTACGCGCCGACACGACGTCCGTTAAACTGAAATTTAACATTAAAACTAGATAAAACAACTGTTGCTCTATCACGTGCAGCAAAGTCACACGACCAATAAATAAATTAATAAATAAAATAAAGCATTGAGACCGAGCAAAGGGGCTCAAATATACAACACCACCACATAAATACTATACTAAACTACTGGGAACGTACTTGGAAGAAGTGAGGGGTTAGAGGCTGACATGTTGTAGTGGGTGTAGTCCACATAACGGGACTAGCTGAGGTTCGTCTCGTCAAGTTGCAACGCCCTAAAAGTGCTGCTTTGCTCGTCACCTTCACCAAATTAAACTCATCAAAACAAACCAACAAAAAGGCAGTTTAGAGCGTTTTAATGCTCATAACTCGAGATTTGAAGCGCTCGACAACGACAATATCCGCTACTGTGGCATCTAACTTGAAAAGAAGCTCATCTTTTTTTTTTTTTTTTTTTTTTGGAGGAAGAGACAACTCACCGGGAGTCAAACTGACAGAAGCGAGTAAATCTTCAAATGTAACAAAACAGTCCCGATGAAAGAAAAAAAAAATGAAGTTGTAGTTTCTGTTTCTTGTCTCCTGTAACGTTTGGCGAAACGAATCCACGCAGACATGAGAGAGAAAACCGTTTCACGTCTACACRACCATAAGGCGATTTGAGGGGCGCGAGCGTGGAACCAGACGACGTCAAATACTACTCGTTCCGGTTTAGACTTTCAAAATAAAAGCACCGCTCACGCTTCCGTGGGAGTTAAAATAAAAAGAAAACTTGCCCTGATGCATCTCAGTAATCCAGGTAAAAAATCAAAAAGAAAAAAATTGTATAGGTCTTCTGGACGGGTTCTTCTTTAATGAAACGTTTCGTCTCTCCTCCAAGAGACTTCTTCAGTCTGAGAGTTTCAGGCAAAATTCAGGCTTTTAAGCACTGCCTCCATGTGACTGATACTCGCATCACATGGCTATTGTTGACACCTAATTAACACCTATTGTTAACAGGGGGTGGAGTGATACTGGCAATGGCCGCGCTGTAGGAGGGGGACAACTGAAAACGGAGGCCTCCACCTCTGTTTAATGATGGACGGTCTTTCTTCACAAAAATGGCTTCTTTTACTCCTCTCTCAAACCAACGTTCCTCTCTATCAAGAATGAGAACATCCTCATCTCTGAAAGAGTGACCGCTGGCCTGTAGATGAGTGAAAACTGCAGAGTTCTGGCCATTAGACGTAGCTCGTCTGTGTTGGGACATTCTTTTGAACAGTGGCTGCTTTGTTTCCCCGATGTATAACTGGTCGCAGTCCTCCTGGCACTTAACAGCATATACAACATTGCTCTGTTTGTGCCGGGGCACCGGATCTTTGGGGTGAACCAGCCTTTGCCRTAATGTGTTTTGGGGTTTGAAAGCCACTGGGACATCATGTTTAGAAAATAAACGTCTCAGTTTCTCCGAAACACCCGCAACATGCGGAATAACCACTGGTTTGGGTCTGGGTTTGGGGTCTTCATTTTCACCTGAAGGTTGCATGGAATCCTGTCTGTGTTTCCTGTCTGCTTTCAGGAAAGCCCAGTCAGGATAACCACACTGCTCCAGGGCCTGTCGTGTGTGTGATTTCTCTTTCTGCCTGGCTCCTGGGTTTGTAGGGACACTGTCTGCTCTGTGGTACAGAGTCCTGATCACTCCTAACTTGTGTTCCAGTGGGTGGTGGGAGTCAAAACGCAAATATTGGTCTGTGTGGGTGGGCTTACGCTATACGCCAGTTTCCAACCATCCTCCATCCGAAACCGAGACATCGCAATCCAGGAACGCCAACCTGCCATTTTTTACATCCTCTCGTGTGAACTTAATATATTCATCCACAGAGTTGATGTGATCAGTGAAATGTTGGACTTCCTGAGCTTTCATTTTAACCCAGGTGTCGTCAACATATCTGAACCAATGGCTCGGTGGCACCCCTGAAAAGGATATCAAGGCTCTCTTTTCCACTTCCTCCATGTACAGGTTTGCAACAATAGGAGAAACTGGGAAAAAAAAAGAAAACTTGTTGACTCCTATAATACCAGACTTAAGATGCTTCCATTCAGTTTCTTCCACATGTTCCGGAGTCACGTTCCAAGAGCAGCTTGAGCAGGAAGACCCAGATATTTCTATCCACAGTCACTTCTTCCAACTCTTATAGGAAGACTCTGGTTAAGAGACAGTCTCCCCAGCATGTCCTGGGTTTTCCATAGGGTACCAAGGGGTATCCTCATCAGATGCCCAAACCACTCCACGTGGCTCGTTTTGACCTGGAGGAGCTATTCTGAGTCTCTCAGATAACTGAACTTCTCACCCTGTTGTATCACAATCTCATTCTTTCTGTTAATATCCAAAATTTCTGACCTTTCAGTGGGTACTGTTTTATTTTGACATGCATTAAATTTTACCTTACCTTACCGAGAGTAGGAAACAGACCAGCCGATAAACAGAAAGCTTTGCTTTACAGCTCAGCTCACTCACAACAAGGGTCCTCCTTTACTTGTGAATAAAAAACAGAGATACTTGCTGATCCTCATCCCTGTTGCTTCACACTCGGGTGTCCTGGTGCCATGTGCACCTATAAATACCCTTATGTTCAAACATGGTGTTTTGGATGGACAAACTGTGACTAGCACAGACATCCAATGACAGTTCACTGCTCAGGTTCACAGGCCCTTCCTCCCAATCATGTCCCTCCAGGTCACCACTGCCAATACCTATGTGTGGGCGTTTATGCCCCCCCCGGCAGAAAAAAGTCAAAGATAAAGTCAAAACAAAATGCCTAATATCATCTTCAAAGTTTAAACAAAACTGATAATTAATGACGGGTATTTCTGTTGTATTTGTTTTATTTTGAAGTACGCTTTTCATACTTCCGGCTGTATGTTTTCTTATCTTAACCAACAGAGACGTACAATATGGCTGTCGGTAGCCAGGGAGAAGATGCTACACTTGTGAGGGGCTTGCTGAATGCCATAAATGTTTTGGGGGGTGGTTTTAATCAATGCAAGACCGAACGTGCAACTTGCTCAGATGGGACTGCGCTTTAACTGAGAAGAGTAATTGACAATATTTTCAGTCGTATATTTCCGAGTAGCTATATCTGACTTGTGGTGCATCTCTAAGTTTTCAGTTAGCTAAAGTTTTTTTTCATGTTGCATAGAATCCTACGCATATGCATATACATAAGTTTTGCATTGATCCAAGTATCAAATAATACAGCGTGCACAGTCCTACGCAAGAGGTTTTTAATAACTACTCCACACACTTAGTTTACAAGAAGCCAAACATTCAATTTTATCTTTATCATGCGTTCACTAGATGGTCTGAAGATATTTCAGGGATTTGAGGAAGTACTTGTTGAAAACAAGCTATCATCTGGTTGACATCCACTGACCACTTGTTGCTGGAAAAATAAAAGTCATCCTGCCTACTGGGATCAGTAAATGTTCCTCCAGCGCCYCCTACTGGTGGTTTGTCATTACTGCCTAAATCGGTCAATTTCCAACAGATTTTATTTTCTTAAATGTAATTTATGTCTGTTTTTAAAGCTGCTAATGTCCCWATATTGCCATTAAAAACATTTGAAAACCCGTCACATGCAATCATAGGAAAATCTGTATAATAAAGAGAAAAATAACCTTCAGTTTTTTGCCAACCGCACTCTCCAAGATGAAGATTAGAAAGAACTAGATAATTGGCAAGTTGGTGGGCGGTGCTTATTTCTTTGAAAAACGAGAAGGTAAGAAGCACTTTTTAAAACAGACAAAAAATAGTACATCTAATAAAAAAAAAACGCACAAGCGTATTTTTGTAATAAAATAGCAATATAATCCTGTGTAATTTCCTGTTTGGACGCACAGAGGCATTGCTTCTCTGTAGGCCGAACCTTGACGCTTGTTTTGCTAGCACGCCAAACTCCATTTAAATGATCGAAAATAAATAAATRAACTTCAAATGCGCGCACGTAACATCTAATTTGCTAATTATTCTTAATCAAGGCATCCATGTAGATAATTCGGCWCACATATATTCGTAAACAAAACTTTAATACATTAATAAAGCACTAAATTTAGAGAAAGGGAGGGGAAATATGTGCTAAGAAAAAAAGCTTTTTTTTCCTGGAATGCATGGCTTTGCATCTGGTAGAGGTAGATGAATGCCGATTTTATAAATGAGGAATGYAGAAGAAGATAACATTAATATTTTTTTAGATGTGTAAGACAAATTAGCTGAATCAAAACTACACAAATGAGATTTGTCTCACAATTTTAAAGACAAAAGATCAATAATTTGTGACATTTTCATTACTTTTGTGTAACAGTTTGGAAAATTTTATATAACCAAATCCTCTTGCATACCTAAACACTATAACTTACTGTTTTACAATCATTTTCACAATTCATTGTCATATTTTTCCTTTGCAWACTTGTAAACAAAGACTGAACCCAGAATGCCAGACATGTATCTCAGTGACAAAACTGAAACTTAAAGTGAGATTGTTCCCTTTTTTGGGAAAGTACGTGTATTCCAAATGTGCTGATTGCTTTCTTTTAATGCCCTCTGGACTTTCCCCAGGCCTCATCTTAAAAACTTGGCTGTTAGAAGTGTCACATTGCGGCGGGTGCAGAGCTCACCCTGGTCTTTATTTAGACGGACGTAACATCTCATCACAAGACCTTTGTCCATATGACCATTAAGCACGCTGGTGTGCAGTCAAAGGAATGAAAGGAGCCCCTGTCGGTGTAATTGGACCCATTAGTGCTGATTGTTCTTCCAAAAGTCATCAGATGTGTGTGTGTGTGTGTGTGTGTGTGTGTGTGTGTGTGTGTGTGTGTGTGTGTGTGTGTGTGTGT